TGCTTCTTATAGATTGAATGGTTTTAATTGGGGAACAATACTTCTACATTTTTTTTCCAGCTATGTGATTGTGGTCGAGCATGATCTGAGTGTCCTGGATTATTTATCGGATTTCATTTGCTGCTTGTACGGGAAACTGGGAGCATATGAAGTTGTAACCCTTCCCTTTTCTGAAGAGAGGGAATAAATATCTTTTTGGCTGGATTTGTCCCTACTGAAAATCTAAGGTTTCGAGATGAATCTTTGACCTTCAAGGTACGCTTGTTTCTCTTGTCATCCGTGCATATGTCATTCATCTTTAAATTATTGTCTTAACCTCTCTGTTTCCCCTTTGTTATAGGTTGCAGAGGCCCCACAGGAAAGTGCTGAAGAAATTGAAACCTATGCACGATACAAATACCCAACCATGACTAAAACACAGGGCAATTTTAGACTTAAAGTTATGGAGGGTGAATTTACTGATTCTCAGATTATTGTAATGTTGGGTGAGAATGGTACTGGGAAGACCACATTTATTCGTATGCTGGTATTTTGGTCTTCCATCATTTGTGCATTAAGTATTACATGTTTTAATTCATTGTTAATCTCGTCTCTTGAAATATTATTGGATGAACCTGCAGGCTGGTTTGTTGAAACCTGATAGTGTAGAAGGTTCAGATGTGGAGATCCCTGAGTTTAATGTTTCATACAAACCTCAAAAGATCAGTCCCAAATTTCAATCTACAGTCAGGCACTTGCTGCATCAAAAGATACGTGATTCATACATGCATCCCCAATTTGTTTCAGATGTGATGAAGCCACTTCTCATTGAGCAATTGATGGATCAGGAAGTAGTGAATCTCTCTGGAGGGGAGTTGCAAAGAGTTGCATCATGTCTATGCCTTGGAAAGGTAAATGTTTCTGAATTAGCTAAAAAAATAAGGATATAGATTGGAGTTAAATGTTCCAAGTTTTTCTTTACCTTCTTACAAGTTTGAAACGTGATTTGCTTGAACCTAAATTATTGGAGGTGCTGGTTACTGTTCTTACCTAATCCTTACCTAAGTTTTGGGATAACTCCTTTTAACACTAAGCATTACCTTCCATGTCATGTCTAGTTATGGGCTTTTCATGTGCATTTGCCAACACTAGTATCTTCTTGTGTATGGACTCGTGTTCTGCTATAGTCCTTTTAGTCTATAGGGGTATCTACTTGACTATACTGAAGGGCCTAATATACAGATTTTTCAACTCTTTTATTATTATTAATAACTTAATATGCAAGTTGTAGGTCTTCCTAAGTTGCAGAACATGTAGTGTGCATAATACTCAAAGCACATCGTCTCCATTTGAAATTTGATAAATTGTGTAACAATATATGAAATACGCAATGGTTTTGTGGTGAATCCTAGGAATTGAGAGCTATTGAATTGTAGTTTCTCTGGATCAAAGTTGTGGCTATAAAAAGTCAAGTGATGAGATAGATCAAGTTCTATTTGGTTTTAGATGATCCTAATTAAGAGGTGCATACTTGCATTGTTATGTTTCCAACTTCTTATTCAGTTTCTCTCTGATTGTTATGTTTCTAATTTTTCATTCAGTTTTACCTTTGATTGTTTCGTGGAATGCTGGTATATCAATTGGTTTCTGGGTCATGTATTTACTTTTTCAAATTCCAAGGTATTGTTATCTTTTATAGTCTGCCTGATGCATATGTTTGTTTTAAGTCATGCAGCCAGCAGATATTTATCTGATTGATGAACCGAGTGCTTATCTCGACTCTGAGCAGCGTATTGTTGCTTCTAAAGTTATAAAGAGGTTTATCCTCCATGCAAAGAAAACCGCATTTGTGGTTGAGCACGATTTTATTATGGCATCGTATCTTGCAGACCGAGTTATTGTGTATGAAGGGAAGCCATCAGTGGATTGTATTGCAAATTCTCCACAGTCCTTGTTGACTGGCATGAATCTCTTCTTATCGGTGAGTTTCTCATAATTCCCTTGTAGATTGATTGTGCTATTCATTTGAAATTTTTCTAGTGATGCTCACTGTTTGACATTGCGGCACTCTACAGCATCTGGACATCACTTTCAGGCGGGACCCGACCAATTACCGACCTAGGATCAACAAATTGGACTCAACTAAGGATCGAGAACAAAAGTCTGCTGGGTCCTATTATTATCTAGATGATTGAGACATTTAATGACAGGTGTGAAATCAATGCTCATGAATTGCAAGTATGTTTATGCGGTGGGTGCTGAACTTTGTCCATTGCAGTTGCTAATTGTGATGAGATGAAAATGAAGACATGTCCATGGCGGGGATCTGATATGATGTTGATAAGGAAAGGTGCGTTGTAGGCGGCGGCGGCAGTGGCGTGCCGTTTATTTTAGAAAATTTTATCCTATGATTATCCTACAGTGTGGGTTTCCTTCATGTTTTAATACCCATTTTGGTTGATATTTGATGAGTGAGAAGAATCCTGCTACTCTTCTTTTGGACTTCACTGCATACCCATTGTTTTTTCACGTTTAAAAGAGCAAGGAATGCTGTTAAAGTGAGACATTTGGATTATCAGTGTAGTTAGCGTTTGTTTTTCCCCCCTAAAAATTATTCTTCATTATCATATCTACCCTTCCATTTTAAAGTCAACAAATATGGGCCTAAATCTTTGAGGTGCAGCGGTTGAATCAGCCTGTTTTTTTTTAAATTTAATAATTCCATAAAAAGTAGTCTAAATTGGTTTAGTTAGTACAAATCTTTTTGAGTATTCAAATTCTGATTTAGTGATGGACTTGTATTGTGCGTGTCCAATTTGACGATGCAGGGGACGACGGGCATAATAGGATTAAAATTGTTTAACTCGTTGGAAGAGAAGAAAACAAAATCGCAAATAGCTTAAAAAATCTTGTAAATTAATCCCTATTTTTTGGATAGTCTTAATAATTCTCTGTTCCATTGTTAGAAGCTTCACAGCGCCTTCCCCCCGGTACACACAAAAGAGGGGTAAAAACGTTAAACCAATCAGATCTCATATTCAGAAAATCCTAAAGTGTCTCCTCCGTCGAAGTTTACGATTAAATTGTTCCTGTTTTATGAGGTAAAGTAATGGTAGTTTAGGATGTACGTTAGCTTAATGTTATAATTATTTGTATATAACGATTGTTTATTGTGTTTAATAGTTATCTAAATATATTAAGAATCATGTTGTAGTACTTACATTATGATTTTTAGATATTGATCTAATGATTTTGTGACCTAGACTCGTCTAGATAATCTAGAAGAGTAGGTTAGCTTAATGTACGCATATGTGACTCAAGTCTCACTCAAAGTATTTGACCACCAAGGAACTATAGGATGTACGTTCTTGATGTGAAAGTAACCCAAGTCTCTCCTAAACTACCAACACTATTTGCTAGATAAATGTGAGTCTTATGTGTTATGGTGACCCCGAATTACACCATTATGTCTTCTTATGTGTTTGTGGATGTGTCTTTGAGCTACGTGATACCAAGCATCATCCTTCGTGTCTATATATGTGTTGTGGATATGTATTGAGTAGATGATATTGTTCCTCTAACGATACATGTAGTCATGCTATTGTTATGAATACATGTAGTATAGTAGAGTTATTTGCAAGATATTGAGCTCATTACCTTAGCATTCAAAATGTGTTTTTATTCGTAGGTATTTAGGTGTGAATCGAGGAGCACTATCACTGAGTTGAATTTTTAACTGAGAGTACTTTTTTGGTTTATATAGACTACATGTATATTATAGACCTTGTGTTGTATTCTAGTAGACACTATTGTAAAATCTATTATTGATAGTCGGATTGTATTATTTTGGAGTTTCATTTTTTGTAAACTTAAATTAAACTTATTTATTTTAGATTTAATGATTAAGTCATTAAGATTTGGTTATATGTTTTAAGAAGAAAGATCAATCACTTCGATAATTTCGTGTAGAATTTGAATTCATTATATTCAAATCGAGTTAAATCAAAATGTTATAATTGTACCTCGAAACTTAAATTGAAAAACAACGATAACCAAGACAACCTCACGAGTAAGAGACTAGAGAACAAATATTACCCATCGCGCGTTTAAATCTCGGGTAAGATAAAAATGTCTATGTAATAAACTTTTAAACTGTTTTATTTATTATTATTGATCAATTTAATGGAGAAATGAAACTAATTTACAACCCCTAGTTGAATCATAAATACGTCATATTTGTTGACTTTATCCGACGTGAGTGCACGTATAAGATTCTCTTGAAATGTAATAGAGTTAGATCTTCGTCATTTAAAGAGATCCAAAGCGAGAAATTTTCAATTTCTATTGGTTTCTCAACGGAAAGTACTAACTAATATATCGATTCTCAATATTATTTGATGTGATAATTTATTCACTTACATTTTATTTTAGCTTGATATTAAATTTTTTATGTTATAATAATGAATATAAGATGAGAGTAATTGGTTTTAATTAAAAATACTAATTAAAATATTAAGTTTAACGATTTTGATACGACAGTTGATAAAATAATTTTTATGTGCATAATTTCACTCATGTTTTATATATCATGTCAATATGTAATAAATTAATAAAATGAGTAAAAATTAATACATAAAATTATCCATTATAATTATTTTTTTGCATATAATAACTCGAACTCGAACTCAATACCTAATTAAACAATATCAAAATATTTACCACTTGAACTAATCTCTTAGGCATTATAATTAAATTTTAAATGCATGTAATACAACTGTTAAAAAATCATTATTTAAGCAACGCAAAAAAAAATCCTAATTAATATTTTTGGATGAACTGTAAGTTTGTATAAATAATTTTTTTGATGGGTTATTATTTGAAAACAGGGGATAAGTAAATAGAGCCGTCAGTATAATTAATTAAAAGCATAAACACGTAGATGAGTCGAGGTTCCATAATACCATATCACATACTTGAGTCTCATCGATTGAATAAAAAGAGAAATAATCTATGTACTTATATGCCAAAAGCAAAGGGTCTGTAATTATTCATAAAACCAGTTGAAGTCGATTATTATAACATCAATTGATAAGTAAATCGCTTCCACCTCTTGGAATGGACCTTACGACTCCCAAAAGTCCATGTTTTCCTCCCCAGTTAAATCACTTCCACTTCCTGAATTTCCCTCCTCCGTGCTTGAATTTCCCATGCTTCCCGTGCTTGAATTTCCCATGTTTCCCGTGCTTAAATTTCCCACCATGATGTTTGAACTTCCCGTGATGTGCAAAATGGCCACCACCATGACCACCGTAAGCACCATGAGAACCGTGAGCCAGGTGGTGAGCCCCCGCTGCGGCTGCCGCTGCTGCAGCACCGCCGGCAAGCAACCCTCCTAAGGCACCGTGCCCTGTAGACACAATTACAAAAAGTATTTACAAACGTGTAAAGAAAGAAATCTAATTATTTGCATCTCACACATCGTCCACAAACATGACATGGCAACAAACTCCAACAACAAGCAAAAAGACAATTTTGGCAATTTACCTGAATGGGATGCGCCATGAGGTGCACCGGGATAACCAGCCGGTGGATAGCCTTGAGGGGGATATCCTCCAGCAGGTGGATAGCCATGAGGGGGATACCCTCCAGCAGGTGGATAGCCCTGAGGGGGATACCCTCCAGCTGGTGGGTACGCACCGGGAGGGTATCCTCCATGACCATGAGCAAGACCATGAGCAAGATTTGAAAAGAGACCCTTGTCATCATGATCATGCTTGTCCTTGTCCTTTCCCATGTTTTTTTCCCTCAACCTGTGGAATCAAGATAGACAAACATGAGTGATAGACAACACACAAAATTCATTCATTCATTCTGATTGGAAACATTAGCAAATGACTCCTGGATCATCGTCGTTCATCAACAAAACAAGTCACAAACATAGAATAGGATTTTTTGAAAGTAGCACACATATATATTAATGGAGTACCATAAAATTCTTGTACGAGACAATCAATAAAATAGATAACTAAAGAAGAAAATTCGGCACAACCAATAAGGCGTAAATCAGCCGCTGGATAGGATAAACAAGAAAGCATTACAACAAAAAAAAGGGTTCATCGTTTAACAAATGTCATAACACATAATGGGTAGCAATTACGATCATTGACTAGACAAGAAAACGTGCCAATTAGAATTAATAGAACAAAACCCTAAAATCCCCCAAAGGAAAAGAAAGTGAAGAAATCAAAAGCAATTCAGAGATGGTAAGAAAACAGTCAACGTGTTTATGTTTAGGGAAGCTTTGAGAAATTGGATAAGATGGGGGATCAATGCAGACTAGCACAAACCATAACAAAATTCTGAAGAAAAAAAGATGAAACAACAAGTAAATCAGGGAAAGATAGAGAGATCTGTTCTTACAATTACAGAGAAGAGCGAGTCAGCGAAGGGTAAGAGGATAGCTTCGTAATTGTAAGAAAAAAAATCTTTGGGGGAAGATATATAATCACAACGGAGATTCCGCGCGTTGCTTTAACGCGTAATGAACGCGGCTGCTGATAAGGACACCTCCTTTTTTGAGTTTTGACCTTAATCCGTAAGTAATGGAACCCGTCCATTTCTTGCAATACTATTATTTCATTTTAATACAATATAATATAATATAATACAATACAATACAATAAAATATAATATATGAAAGAGGAGATAAAGATTGTTTAGGTATGAAAGTCGAATCTAATAAAGATTTTGTATTAACTTTTAGGATAAATTACAAAATATCGATAATTTTATTTAAGTTTTTTATATTTTTCTTCATTAAATTAAAAAAATTAAGATTTAATTACTTTCGTTTTTATTTAACTAAGATGTAATTATTAAGAGTTAATAATCGTTAGACTTTTAACGAATTATTGACGTGATACAATAAATATATAAAATAAAGAAAAGGTAAATTATATAAATGTTGACTAATATTTAAGTAAATTTTTGATTTCTCAATGAAATTTCAAAAGTAACAACGGAATTCAAATGACTATGCTCAATGAACCTGGCTATGCGCATCGTAGCTCCGAGAAATCTGCGGCGAATATCTTTTATTCGTGGAACGAACCCCATGGGAGTTAGCCGTGCAGGCACCGTTGCGGTCTCTCATGCCCCCATGGGAGCAAGCCGTGCAGTCACCGTTGCGGTCTCTCATGCAAAACTCGGATCTTTTGATCACTAGGTATTGCCTTTCTCCCGAAAACGGAACCACTGTTGATTTGCTTCAACTTTCAACACATGTCCAAAGAGTGGAGCAACAACGAAACTCCATGCAAGTAAATGACGACCTGTTTTATTTCCTCACCACATAATTTGTCCGAGAGGGAGAAAGGTAAATGCACAAACGTCGATTTCTACCCTTTTTTCCTTCTTTCAAATGTTCTTCATACATTTACATTGTTCTATTCTTCTTGCAGGTTTACAGGACGAGTTGCAATGCATTTCACAAATAGGCTGTTAGACATATTCCAACACCATTTGGTGGTACATCCCGTTTCTAGTCGGTATACAACAACGCAAAATTCTGGACATTGTAACTGTACATCGGTGCAAGTGTTATATATATATATAATGTGTAGAAGTTTAAGTGGTTCATGTAAATTGGAAGAAGATATGCTTGTTAGTGTGCTGCATGCATATCTTTGTTAATGAGAGACCGCAACGGTGCCTGCACGGCTTACTCCCATGGGGTTCGTTCCACACGAATAAAAGGTATTCGTTGCAGATTTCTCGGAGCTACGATGGCCGTATGGCCAGCTTGATATGGCATAGTCATTTGAATTCCTGTCGCATGGGAGCACAGTCCAAGCGTGAAACCCCAAAGAACTCTTTAACAGTTGATGCTGCACTAGGAGCACCGAAGGCTTCGGTTGCTGATGAAAATGTTCCATAAACATGTTGTCTCCCACAGCCATGCATATGAAAGAAAGTTGATGGTAGCAACTGCCCGTTTGCGATTGGTATTCTCGACTGGGAGCTATGCATTGGATTCTCTTCAGATTTAACCTGCTGACATTTATTAGTGTAGACGTGTCTTGCGGGATGAAGAAAGTCAAGTTGAAATGTGTTTGGGATAATGAAACGTGCACGTTTTAGTGTAGAATAATTCGTTATTTTTGAATTTTTAGTGAGAAAAACGAGAATTTACTTAAATATTAGTGATTATTTGTGTAATTTACTTTTTTTTTAATTTTATATATTTACTATATCACATCAATCATTTGGTAAAGTTTAAGGGTAGTTAATCATTAGTGATTGTATTTTAATTAAATAAAAACAAAAGTGACCAATTTTTATATTTTTCGAATTCAGTGTGAAAAAATATACAAACCTTAAATAAAAGTGATCGATCTTGTAGTTTGTCCTAACTTTTTTAAGCACGGTCAATTTGTTGGTCACCGATCAATTTGATTTGAATTAATTTAGTTAATCTAAAATTTGGAATAAATTTAAATATGATGAATAAAATTTGATTTGAAATTAAAAGAATTAAATTGATTAGAATTTATCCGAATTTTAATTAGACTAATAAAGACACGTATTTAATTTGATACATACTAAAAGTAACCCGAACAAAAGCAATTAAATTGAAAATAAATCAAACCTAAAAAAACTCTAATTAAAAGTAACCGTAATTTAATTTACTCAAATTCAATTAGAATTGAACTTAACCTAATAATTGAGTCACAGTGAACAAATAATTTATTTTCTATTATTATCAATTTTTAACGATGTAATAAATAGTAAAATGATGTATGTTTTACTGTCCTTTGTATTATACTAATAACCAACGACTATATTTAATAATAGTTTAATGATTTAATATTATTATACTATTAGTTAATCATCAATCTTTTATGTTTATGCAATACACTCGAAGCTGAACTCTGGAAATTCTCCCAATGTGCATGGAAAACAGGAACAAGACAGATCCAAGTGAAAACTGATAACAGGGACGCCTTCAAACTTATCTAAAAAGAGCCGGACAAGGGACGAAACCTCACCATTTTACAACATATCGATGGGTTGATAATCCGAGAGTGGAACGTGCAAACCAAGCATATATTGTGATGCGAAAACAGAGTAGCATTAGAAATTGCAATACAGATAAGGAGAGGAGATCCAGAGCTGGGCTAAAATGCCATCATCCCTTTCGTGAACAAACAAAAATGTTAATAATCATTTCTTGTATTATCTATTTTTTTTTAATTTGATTGGACTCATAATCAACTCAACTCAAATTGATCCAAAGATCCAAAGGTTGATTTAAAAAAATGACTGGTTTAATATTAACATGACTTGAAAATCGAACGATATGATATTAACTTGACCCAAAATCAATTGATCTGATATTGATTAAACTAAAAAACGAATGATATAATATTGATTTGAGTTGAAAATCAACTAATCTAATATTAATACAATCTAAAAATTAAATAATTCAATATTGATCTGACCTGATAATTGACACGACCAAACTTATGGTGAATTGGAACTAAATTCAATATGATCCAAACCAAACATAAATCGAACATAATTTACACTTAAAATAATCTACCTCGAAATAATTTAACCCTAGCCACCTATTCTGTAAATAAGGATCAATTACAAATTTACAATGGTAATGTTTCTTCTATAGTACGATTCTAACCGTGATTTTAAAATTTTAAAATTAAAATATAATTCAAAAATATAATCCAAAAATTAATAAAATAGTAAAATTAATAAAAAAATGTATAATATATATGAAAATAAAAACATAATTCAAAAAAATAATTTTAAAATCCACAAAAACAGAAAAAGTCCTTCAAGGAATGAGAAATATTGAAGAATTTCCAATATTTTTTAATAAAATATAATATAATATTATAAAAATAAAAATATATAATATATAATATATATTATAATTATTTGATGATAGAATATTGACAAATATCTTTATTATAAAATTAAGAATTAAAAAATAAAGAAATATAACAATTAATATATATGACTCATTCCATATTAATCATGTATTAGTTATGCTTTTTGGATTCCAAATTCAGAACATAGCTAGATCCTTAAAATTGGTGGTAATCCACCATCTAAATTAAATGTGGAACCAGTCTCGGAGAGTTGTTTAGTTATGAAAGTCGGCTTGTTGAACAAAATTGAACCCTCTGCAAATTTATGTTTTTATATTCTCAATTTCCCTTAACCTCTAACATTATTATTTTGCATTAATGTTCAAATGAGTATAACTATAAAACATGAACAGATGAAACGAATCCTTTGGATGTAATAAAATATTATTAACCATACCCCATAGCATCATCATCCACTCAGACTAAGTCAAGCCGATGCCATGGTACAACCTACAATACAAGAACAGTAAAGCTATAGACAATATAACCTCTTTTCATTCGTCACTTAAGGAGGGATCTTGCTAAATGTTCTCGAGCAGTGGCCAATGCTTGACTTATTGTCTGCAGTGCACCACATTATATAAACAAAGATGGTTAAATATGGTTCCAATGTCTGCCTGCTGATTGAGAAATGAATTATTAAAAATAGAAATCAAAGTGGTTTCTACCTGCTCAGATAAAGGAGCAGTCGCATCTACACTATGACTGACAACCTTTCCCGCAACAGCATTAGCATCAGTTTCTAGGATGATGCTGCGAAGGGTAAAATGATTATCTCATTTCCAGTCAATAACCCATAGAACTCTTGTTTACATAGTAATTTTTAGCCAACAAGTTTAAAAACCTGATGTATTGAACAAAATCATTTGTTGGTAAAGGTTTCTCACAACATTGCTAGAAGGGAAAGTATATATATATATGTATGTATTACAATATTAATGGTTGTTAGAAGGGTAAAATGTACGAGATGTTGTCCTCTCTTTGCTTGTATAATTAGTTTAAGGCATTTTACCAACCACGTTAATTTATGGCATTCCAAACAAAATGAGATGTATGAATAGACACTTTGGTAGACAAAGTAAATACCTTCCTATCCAAGTAATAGCAAAATATCACTAACTATAGTTCCCACTAACAATGATAGACTAACGATCATTGAATGGAAACTAGTCTATTAGATGTTGTCCCGCATCCATAGTTGATTATAAAGTTAGGACGTGATTTGTTTTCTAAAAATAACTAAAATTTTAAATTACATATACAGTTGCAGAAACTTTTAAAACCATTATAATGTGACCGTTACGTTGCGTTACGACCACCATTTTGTATTATACACCCACCCACCTACCCACTTTTCTTTTTCCTAATAATCTCATGTAGACTTTAGTATTTGGCCGAAAGTTAATGTTTCAAAATTAAAGGAAAATTGACTATTACCAAGAAAACAAGAATAAAAGTTGTGTCATTCATACAAACTTTAAGCACTAAGAATCAAGTTGCATACCCGCCATCAAGGATCTCATCAAGACATAACAAAATGAGATCCAAGTTCTCTAATGCCTCTTTCTTGACCACAATCCCTCTGGACAGTAAAGAAGCCAAATAAGTTCATAGCAATATTTCCTTTAATCTTGTATAAAGATATGGTAAACAGATTAATAAGTAAATTTGAAAACCTTAGAAGAAGGCCAATTGCATAAAAAAAGCCTTTAAGAACAGTAACCAAAATGAGCTCATTTTCACCCTCAGTCCCAGTAACAAAAAAGTGCGGGTCTTGAACAAACTTATACACGATGATATGATTCTCAAACATCGATATCTCCTCTGTTAACAGAGAAACATCACTATAATCAAGTATAAACGGAAGGTGAATGAATGATAGATATTTCTCGTCCTTCCAAGCAAAAGCAGTAAAACAGACTGCAAAACATGAATGCGCCATCTTTCTAAAAACTGATACAGAAAATCAACTCAACCAACCAGTTGTAAATCAACATAGATTAAGAATATATGGTTATAAACCAACATCAAAAGGGAAAGAACAGTTACATGCGCATTACAGTTGTTCACACAAAAGGGTTTAGAAATTGTTTACCTTCAGTGCGAGCATTGGTCTTTTGAGTCTTGAAAAACAAAGCTTTCTCAAAGGCTTCCTTAGCACTATTAGTCAGCCATTCGTCTGAATAATATTTAACAGCAACACGGTTCCCCTCGGAATCCAGAAGAAGGATATTTTTTATAGAAAGACAAGAATCCTACCAACACACCAACAAAAAACACAAAATTAAGGATTGTAAATGACCAAATTCATGTTGTTGGATTGATGCTTAAGATTTCTGATGAAAGAAAAAACAGTAATGGGATCAAATGCTTACATTCAGTGCTCCTGGATTTAGTTTTAAATCAACATTATTGTCTATTCTCCAATTCAGATAAAGTTAAGACTAAAACATTATTCCACAAATATCTATATAAAGGGGGGATGGGATCCGAATACATCGTAGGAGAAATGAAAATCAGAATCGACTAATCAATGAAACAAGTGATGATCTGCGGTAAAAATAAGGGGGGCCGAACATAGGAAGAGATGCAGAGTATTAAGCGTGAAATGTTAGTCCATAGAGAAGAATGGAAAACGGTGATTAAAGAGAAAGGGAGCTGACCATTTGTGTTGGATGTTAGGGAACAAAATGGAATGGAGGGGCTCTGCAACAGATGTTGGATTTTGATGTGGCGATCAACGAAGACGGAGAGTTGGGAATTATGAGAAAATGCCACCCTGCACTGCAATTGCATCTCTATTTGTTTCGAATATCTCCATTTTTCTACCCCCTCTTGGGCTTTGCAACTAGGCCTGGCCTGCGCCTAAATTATTATTATTTTTTTAATTAATCACTGATATTTGATCTATTGAGCGACTAATCAAGATTGGATACTGCAAGGCGGAGACGACCCTCCCAACCCAGTTTGCTCCATTCGCAAACGCCATGATTCGAACCTCTGACCTTGGTTAAGGGACCTAGTTTCTCATCCCACGAGACCAACTGATTGTTGAAATTTAAAACATCTGCAGACTTTTTATTTTTTTCAAATTAATTTACAGTTTTTGATTTTTTTTAAAAATTAATTTTTAAGTGAATAAAAATAATTAATAATTCTTATATAGTATTTTAAATTTATGTTCACTTTGATATATAGAATAATTATATTATATTATAAGACTTAATCATAAAAAAAAAAATTATTTTAAATTTAAAAACCCATTTTAAATTAATTCATAAATCATTAACCGCTTAAAAACTAAAATTCAATCTAACTTGTTAATTTATACGGTTTCTCCTAAACCATCACCACATTGTTCAAAAATATTATCCAAAAATCTTGGGACACCTACAAGTATAGTGTTAAATTGAGATCGTAATATTTATTATGAATGTAATCGCGGATGTTACATAATTTATAACAATCGTTATGAACATAAAATTCTAAAAATTATAATTTTTTTTAAATTGCAAATGCAATTACAACATTAAAAACCTTTATAATACAATTTTAATATTATGTTACGCGTGTAAGAGTAAGATTTCGTAGGTGATAAATTTCCGGATCTTGGTGGTGAAAACACAAACCTAGAACTGGTTTCACAGCTCAATCGGCAAAATTGCTAGAATAATGTGGTGGAAAAAAAATCAGTGTACCAAAAATTATTTTTTGAACTAGGATGTTTGTTACAATACTCAGAGAATTCACCAGCACTACACGGTAATTTATGAAAAGCATATAGACTTGCTCGACGACTTCCTACTCCGCTGCATCACCTGCAAGGTTCCAAGTATCGGAATGCATCACTGCTGCATGGAGAAGTTACCGTGCAATCAGAAGTCGACGTACAGTCCTGACGAATTCCCCAGATACTGTAGCAAACACTCTAGTGAAAGAAATAAATTTTCCTGCACCTAACATGGGGAAATTTTTTTCACCACATTCTCTAAACGATTTTGCCCAACTCCGTGAACACTATCATGTTCATTCCCATATATGATGTTCATGTTGTGCATCTTTGCAAAACTTCAATCACTGAGCCGGCGAACAAAACCGATAATGATGGGGGAATTACCACATGAAAAATGAAGGGGAGACTAATCAGCCCCCTTAATTAGCAAAAATAGTTCCAATCACAATCTTGTGTTAAGCAGCCTGTCAACGAAGAGAATAATATCAAAAGGTTCAAAGCAACTCGATCATCTAACAAAAACCAATCATCATGAATCACAAATAGCATATTTAACCATTGGGAGCATTAGTACCAAAAAGATCATAAAGTTCCAACAAGGCTATGCCAAGCATTATTTAGATTTCACAAAATGTGGGGACAGATATTTGGCCACCTCTAACATTCCAACTCTGTCCTTGCCATCGAATATCGTCTTCAACTTCTCATCACAAATAATCTCCTTCTTGTTTGCAGGATTCTAAGCACCATCACACAAGAAGTCATGCTCAGCAACATAAAAATTACAACAATTTATAGAATAAAGACAGACAATATTCATAGGACTATCCAACCTTCCTTAAATGCTAATGGGACAAAAAACATCAGTGGAATTAAAGAAGAAAACATCAAACATGTGAATTCTGATGGGTTTAAATATCTAAGGAGATTTCTGATTTATAATCCTACTGTAAACTTGCAGAACAATTTGCCACGACTGCTCCTTTTATAATGCTCCAATTTTTGTCTTCCTATTAACACCCAGTACAAAATAAGTGGCATCACGCATATTTTCCACTTGTGTAAAACGAGTTTCTTAAAGAAATCATATGGATTGAATTTCCAAAGAAACAAACACGATTAACATAATATATTTGATTCTTCCACCATTAACATGAGAAAAGGATGAAGTAAAGCGCGGCAGCAACAATAATCTTGGAAGAAAACAGGGAAGGAAAATGAAAGGGTGGAGGGAAGGACCTGGAGATTGTGGAGCTTGATGTATTCCCAGATCTTTTTAGTGGCGTCCGCGCGAGAAGCTTCGGAAGATCCAAGGAACTTGCCCAGCTGTGGAGAGACGGGTTGTAACCGCATAAGCCCCTTTCCATTTCCACTGGAAGAGGAAGCAAAAGAAGCAGAGGAAACCTTCGCCGCTTCTAGAATTCCGATGTACCTTCGAAGCAGTTTTGATGTAGCCATCATCACCGTCACTTCCTCTCTTCTTTTCTCGAAAACCAAAAAGCTCCTCCTAAAACCCTAATAAGTCTGGTGGACAGTGGGCATTTTGAAAAAAAAATTTAGAGGTAAAATAGGAAATAGAGTGAACTAATTGGGTTATTTTCTCATGCTATTTAACTTGGGTTGAACACGTGTCACAATTGGGCTTATCATCCAAACATAAAAACATTGGACTAAGCCTTTTCAACCTTCATTTTTTAGAGGTGTTGGCGTTTCAGGAATAAATTTTTTAATAGTACGTGGTAATTATAATTACACATTCTACATATATGAATGTTTGACTTCAAAGAAGAATAACACTCTTTTTAATCACTTGACAATCTTTCCTAATATACTTCGGTCTGAAAATTTGTAACAACTGATATTTATTAAAGTTTATTTTTCTTAATTTTGATTTTAATTATTTTAAATATTTAAATTTTATAATTAATATATTTAAAAATATTTCATTCACAAATTCTAAAATATATTTCTATAACTTTTTGATCAATAATATATGTAATATAATAAAAAATTAAAAAAAATTAAAAAAATTAACCACTAAAAATTAAAATGTGATAAATTTATTAAAAAATAATAATATTTTTAGGTATGACCCTTGATTTTTCAAGATTACCTTAAGTTTGTAATCTTATATTTTCAATAGTCCTAAGATTCCAAAATGTGGGATATATCTTCCTTAGATAATGGGATATTTCTTAGGTAATCTCCTCTTCTTTGGTAATAATCTTCTTCTTCTTTTTACCTTTTTACTTTTTTATTATTTTGATTAATCTTTTCATTCATAAATATTTTATACGTTAAATAAATATATTATGTATATATTTTAAATTTTATTATAATATAATATTTTAAGTCAATACATAAATAAAGATAAATAAATTATAAATTATTATATTTAAAATAAATAATATGCTAATTAAATTTAAAAATTATATAAATTACATTTTAATAAAAAGAAAATGATATTTTTTAGAAAAATAATATTTCCATTTTATTTTAAAAATAAAATTTTAAAAAAAAATATAAACACTACACGTATCAGATAATAACATTTTAACAACTATTACGACATAAACACTTAAAAGTAGGGCTGAGCAACGAAACCGAAAAACCGAAAAACCGACACGAACCGAGTAAAATGGTTCGGTTCGGTTCGGTTTGACCTTATACGGTTCGGTTTTCGGGTTAGTTTAATTATTCAAATCTTCTAATTCGGTTCGATTCGGTTTTTCCATATGTAATCCATTTATTCCATTTGAACCAAATAAGAAATTGGGTCAGTCCAGCCTGCTACTCACTTGGACATTTACCCTTACAGCCTTACCCATAAGTGATATTGATGTAATAAAAAAACCTAAATAACTCGGCCCTCACTCTTCTCCACTCTTCTCCAGCCCCTCGACCCTCACTCTGCCGTTCTTGTCTTCTTGATTCTGCACTCTCCCCAGTCTCGACAGAGCTTCAAGTCTTCAACTGCAACGATTCGACAAAGCTTTATCTCTTTCCCTTCATCTTGGCATCTTGAACGTGATTTCATAAGGTAAATAACTCGAACATATTTTTGGTCTGTTAATTTTGGGGCGTGAATTTAGAGTTTTTTTTTTGTGGGTTTCAAAGTTTGTAGGTCGTAATATTTGTTTTCCCCGCTTCTATCCTTGTTAATTCTACTTATTCGTGTTTGTATTGCTTCGATCTTTACTATTTTTTTATCTTGCTTTTTGCATATCAATTGTGATTTTTCGTATGAAATCAAAATGTTATTTTCATTGGTTGAAGAACTATGCTAAATCATGGTTACACCTTTACTCTCTCTCATGCTTGGATCTGTTTTCCTTTCTTTATTTTTAACTACCCTTGTTAGATCAGTGTGATTGAGCGTTCTGATGAGATTCAAGTGTGCTTACCTTTCTATTACCTTGTGATGGTCTTGGCTTGATCATGTACTCAACCTAATATTTGTTTGTTAGCTATGTGCTATAATAATGAAACTTTGACATCTCCCACAACACTATTGTGTCTTGGATAGTGACTCAACACCGGAAATAATAGTTTAAAACTGTCATTGCGTGGTGTTTGTCTAAGATTTTATAGGATAAAAATGTCGTAATCTTTAGTTGGCAAGCATTCTCGACTACATATTAAAAGCCTCAGGTCTACCCGGGTTATGGTGTGCTTTTCTTTTCCCTTTTGATTCAAGTGGCTATATATCTGTCACAGATGCATTCAATTTCAAAGAGTTTCTTAAGTTTTGAATTCCGAAAGCTTATTTATTGCATTTCAATTTTAAACTTTCATGCTTATTCACCATAGTTCTTCAATTATCCATCTATTCTATGCTCATTTTCTTGAGGTATTCATGTCCTTCACATATGTCCTGGATATGATATGATAGTATTATTCTTCATATACATGAAAGATTTTAGAAAATATGAAAATTAAAACTTAGTGTAGGAAACAAATTTCCAGGAAAGTTAACCCGGTTTAAAATAGAATTCCACATCTAGTGACCACAAAATTAACTTTACATGAAACAAAAATCAGGGGGCCAAGGGTTGTTTTGGTATTTAAGTAAGTCTATCAGTTATCAATCCTTTTCATATTAATAATATTTTCTTCAAACCAAATAAAAAAGCACCAGTTGGATTGATAAAGAGATGTTGCTAGATGTGGTACTACCATTTCCCAGTCCTTATGCAACCTAGTCTCATTCCCGCTTATCTCAATTTGATCTCTAAGTCAAACTTCTTGTAGCTTAATGAACCCAGTGACACATGCCATGTTAAGTCCTTACAAAGAATGTGGATAATTTAAGAAAAAAAAAATGCTAAAACTGATATTGAATTTAATTGTTTCAAACATGAAGCGAAAAGTCACGGGTTTATTCTATCAGATTGGGGGCCACAGATAGAAATGTAAAACCCACTTCTTTAAATTGCTCACTTACCAGTCCCATGATTACAAATTTATTAATAATTCACATAATTTAATTAAAAAAAATATTACTTATATTTATCCTTTTAAATAATATCATTTAACTCATTATTAATATATAATTGTATAAAATTGCTTTACATTAAATCTAAATAGAATATTAATAACTAAACTTATGCTTTTCTTTTTTTAAGATAACAAACCACAACCGAATTGTTAACATAACTCATCCCTTTGCTTATCTCATAATTCATGTTTTGATTCAACTTCCTCTATTTGCTTCAACTTTCTCATTCTTCAATATTTTCTTGTCATTGTAAACTGTTTTTTTCCTTCAGAAATGAAGTCTTCATCATCTAATGCTACTCCAATGTTTTGTGCTGATGCTGAGATTCCTTGTGATACTACTGTCAAAACTGATCAATCAGCTGCAGCTTCTTCAAGCATCCCATCGAATCTTCAGCAGCCTTTAAAAAAAACAGGAGGCAGGTTAGGTACTACAAGTTCTATAGTTTGGGAACATTTTACAAAATTACCTTGTGTAGTTGGAGATATTCCACAATGTAGCTGTAATTATTGTGGAAAACCCCTTAAATGTCCAATTAAAAGTGGAACTAGTGTCATGCATAATCATATGAAACGTTGTCCTAAGTACCCATTTAACAAGGTAGATGAAAAGCAACAGAATTTGTGTTTTAAATCAGAGGAGGATGGGCAGCAAAGTTCAGGTTCAGTTATTTGGAAATTCGACCAAACACAATGCAGAAAATATTGTGCTAGGATGATTATCATGGATGAATTGCCTTTTAGAGTTGTTGAGCATGAGGGATTTCGAGATTTTTGCAATATGATGCAGCCTAGATTCCAAGTTCCCTCTAGGTTCACTATAACAAGGATTGCATGGAAATTTACTTGGAAGAAAAAGATAAACTTTTTAAGTATTTTAAGAGTTTCAATCAAAGGGTTTCTCTCACTACTGACATATGGACTTCTAGGCAAAACCTTAGTTATTTGTGTCTCACTATTCATTTTGTTGATGATGAATGGAAATTACATAAACGAATCTTAAATTTTACACCCATTCCAAGTCATTCGGGTGATGTGATAGGGAAATGCATTGAAAAACACTTGCTTGAGTGGGGAATAGATAAGGTGCTCACAATCACAGTAGATAATGCTAGCTCCAATGATGTTGCGATCAAGTATATAAAAAAAGGCTAAACAATTGGAAACATAGCATTTTAGGGAGTGATTACCTTCACATGAGGTGTTGTGCACACATATTAAATCTAATTGTCAGAGAAGGTTTGAAAGATTTGGATGACTCGATTTTTAGAATTCGTTCGGCTGTTAGATATGTTAGGTCATCACCAGCTAGGATGCAAAGGTTTAAGTTGTGTGTTGAGCAAGAAAAAATTGAGTGCAAGGGTTTAGTTTGCTTGGATGTTGAAACTAGATGGAATTCAACATTTTTAATGCTAGATACTGCCGTGAAATTCGAAACAGCTTTTGACAGGTTGGGAGAGCAGGATTTTAAATATAGAGATGAGCTTTCAAGTTCAAAAATGAAGGGTCTACCTACCGACTTAGATTGGGAGCATGCTCGTGCTTTATTGCCATTTTTAAGAGCCTTTTATGATGCTACATTGAAGCTGTCCGGTTCTTTATATGTCACTAGCAATTATTATTTTCATGTTGTGTTTGGCATTGGAATGAGAATTAATGATAAGCTAAATGATTCAAACTCAAGCATAAAACTTATGGCTTCAAATATGAGGGAAAAATATCACAAGTATTGGGGGAATGTGAAAAATCTTAATCCATTCTTATTCATTTCTATGATTTTAGATCCTAGACATAAGATGGATTATGTAATCTTTGTGATTGAAGAAGTTTACGATGCTGAAAAATCTGAGCAGTTGAGTGAAATTGTAAAACAAACTTTAAGTGAGTTTTTTGATCATTATAGTTTGTTAAGTGGTAAATCCCAAGAGGAACCAAATGTTGCTTCTCAATCTAATGTCTCTAGGGTTGAAAATGATGAGATGCTTGATTTGTTTGTTTATTCCAAGACCAAGTACAAAAGGAAGAGGGCTGAAAGTGTGTTTAGTGAAGGTAAATCTGAACTTGAAAGGTATTTGGAGGACAAAGTAGAACCTGATGTTAAGAAATTTGATTTGCTTGATTGGTGGAAGAACAAAAGTCAGACCTATCCCATAATTTCTGTAATGGCTCGAGATATATTGGCAATTCCTGTATCTACAGTGGCTTCAGAATCTGCTTTCAGCACTGGAGGTCGTGTTCTTGACTCATTTCAGAGTTCTTTAACTCCAAAAATTGTTGAGTGTCTCATTTGTGCACAAAATTGGCTGAGAGCATCACCTGTAACAATCCAAAAAGAGGAACAAATTGAAGAAATGGAGAACATTGAGAGTGGTAAGTAATAATTATATAACACTTGTAAAATATTTTCTGACTCATTTCTGTAAATATTCTTACTTCTAAATATTGTTTTTGACTTTTAATAGGTTTCGAAGATTTAAGGCTAAATGAAACAATGATGACCATTGATGATTGATCGAAGATGGAACACTTACAAAGGTAATTTCTATGATTTAATTTTATAAAGCTTATGACATGATAATATTTGAAATCAAACCGATTGAAAGTTCTATGATTTAATGTTATAAAGCTTATGACATGATAATATTTAAATATTGTTTCTGTTTGTGATATTAAAATATTGTTTTGATAATATATTAAATATTAGTTTAAATTTAAATATATTTCAATTGAAATGTAATTCTGATTTAAATTTTGCATGATAATCTTATCCGTATAATATAGATTGAAGGTTGGGTGATGAAGAGCTGACTGTAAAGTTAAACTTGAAGGCTGAAAAGTTTTCAGCATCTGCAAATGAAAAGCTAGAGGCTGCTGGTTGTTTTATCATGAATGGATGATTATAGTTTCAAGTAATTAACTTTGATAGTTGAATTACACTTTGATTTGGTTGTTTAATTTGTTGTGTGAACCGAATTGCGAACAATATGTAGATTATAGTTTTTGTATGGATTATATATGTGGAATGTGGATCATCCATAGCAATGTGGATTATAGTTTTTGTTGGATTATATACGTGTTTACTAAGATTATATATGTGGATTATGTGTTTTCAGCATCTGCAAAGTAATTTTTTTTTGAATTTATAGGTTCGAGTGAAATTTTCATTGAAAATCAAAACAGGCAATGATATTTTTCAAGTATGTCTAATAATGTATTCGGTTTATGGAAAACCGTTTTACCGAACCGAACCGAATCAAAAAATCGGTTTCGGTTTTTTCGGTTTTTTAACCATTCGGTTTCGGTTTCGGTTTAAATTTTGAAAAACCGTTTATTTCGGTTCGGTTCAATTTTTGGTAAAAAACCGAACCGAACCGAACCGAATACACCCCTACTTAAAAGATCAACGTTGAAAATAGTAAAAACCTATTTTGAGAAAAAAATATATTTTAAATACATAAAGTTACGATATGGTTTGGACACTTTATTTATATATTTCGTATATCAAATATTAAAATTTTATAATAAAAAATCAAACAAGATAATATAACATACATAATAATATACTAAAAACTTACAATCAGCAATCAATTAGTTTAGTGGGATGAGATATTAGATTCCTTAAGCAATGTGAGGGTTTAAACCCTAGCGTTTTTGAATAAAGCAAACTGGGTTGGGATGGTTGCCCTTGACTCTGCAGTACTCGATCTAGATTAGTCGGTCAATAGATTAAATACAAGTGATTAATTCAAAAAATAAAACTTACACATCTCGATAATCTTATTAAGAAAAGACTTAATGTAAAAATAAGTGTCCAAATTATAGCTCAAGTTAAAATGTTTAAAATGTTACTCTCTTAAGTTCTTATGTCATAACAACAATTAAAAAATATTGTTATCTAACACGCGTCGTGTTTATTTTTAAAAAATATTTTAAAACCCCAAAATTTTCTTTAAAAATACAAAAAAAATCTAAAATTCCTAATTTCAAACTCCATTTTCAACCGTCACCGACTATATCTGGCTCATCGTTGACACATGTGATCACCCACCTACTAACAACCATCCCCTTATCCTCACCCCAAACTCTTAAATTACTAATCCCTAAATTTAGTTCGAACGACACATGAACGTTGAGGGGATTTTGCGACTGTTTAACGCGAATTAAATTTGGTAGGGGAGCACGACTGAACGAGGATGGGACAAGGGAATTAACGTTGAAAATTTTAAATAACAATTTTTAACATCCGTTACAATGTAGACACTTACAAGAATAATACCAAAAATGTTATACACTTACTTCAAACGAAAAATATCTTTTAATTGAGAAAAATATAATTTGAGCATTTATTTTTTCATTGAACCTAAAAATTTACATTTCTACTTGCAAATTTATATTCAAATCCATATTTAAATCATATAATTGTGCTGCGAGTGGGAGTAAGAAAACCTACATCTTAGCATAGAAACAAACTGTAATAAATATTTTGTTGCATTCATCTTGTACAGACCCTTGAGCTGTTGATAAAAATTACAGAATGATAATCTATGGCATTCATCTTAAAGAGAATTACTTCCTAAAATGCGAGATTGCAAGACGCACATCAAAGATTTGACGATGATCTGTAATTCTATATGATGTTCTTGCTCCTCACAATACCATCACTGAAAGACCGTGCTGAATAATGTTTCCAGGCCTGTAATAATGTGTTTTACAATGAGAAAAACTCCATGATTCATCAGTTTTTAACATCAATAGCAGACGCATAAACATCAAAAGAGAAGGTCAAGATCCATTTAGCTTCACTTGGTTCAAGGCTGACAAGCGATTGAAGTCATGTTCAGGCAAGGATATTTCATTTCTTCTGCTTCTGGGTCATCATAGCTAGTAACAACATTATAATTTCCCCCACCCCTCTGCATTGTCATCACAATCTGGTATACGCCAAAAAACAATCAGATTCTCATTCTGATGGCAAAATTTGGGAGCTTATGGCTGTTTCAGTGATGACGACGATGTTTACTTCTTCGCTCTGCATCAGAGCTAGAATCTTCATTTCTGCGTGATGATGAATGCTTATTCCGACTCTTTTCACATTTAAGGTGTCGATGAGCATCATCTTCAGATGAATAACGATGTTTATGTCTGTACTTTTCACTCCTATTACGCCTAACAGTGTCTGGATCTTCTGATTCCGAGTTATAATGCATTTGCATGGTCTTTTTCCTACACTCATGCCTACCACGGTCTGAATCTTCAGATGAATAGGAATGTTTGTTTTTACTTTTCCTATCATTTCCATAATTCTCATCATCAGATGAATTAGAATGCCTTTGTCTGCTCTTTTTACTCTTCCTGTGTCTACCACCAGCATCCATATCATCCATTGTATAAGGCTTGTGGGTACTCTTTTTCTTCCTATAATGCCTATCAAAGTCCTCCGCAGATGAATAAGAATGCTTTGTCTTGCTCTTTTTACCAGAGTGTTCCTGATTAGAGTCAGAATCTTCAGATGCATATGAACGCTTTTCTCTGCTTTCTTTAGTCCTGTATTGCTTCCCATAGTCTCTGTCCTCCAATGTGTGCAGATGCTTGTGTGTTCTTCGTCTTTGATGCCTATCAAATTCTGCACTATCAGAAGAACTTGACCCAGAATGATTCCGCTTTTTCTTCTTCTTGGTCTTCTTCTCCTCCTTCGGCTTTCTCTCATCATCACCAGAAGTTGAGGATAAGCCATCTTGATTAGGATCCTCCGAGTCCCAACAACTTGGAGATGACTTCATCTTCTGTTTTCTCTTTTTTGAGGACTTCCTTTTCTTGGGTTTGCAAGAGATGTTAGTCAGCAAATCAGGAATATTACCCCCACAAAGGAATCCTGTAAACAAGAAAAATGAAAAAACAAAAAAGCGGATAACAGTTAACATGAAACTTGGATGTTATGAGCTAAAATTGCCTGTCAAGGAGTCTGCAATAGGAAAAGCATTCACCTCCATACTCATCAAATATATCCTCGGCAACTATTTGTTGATTTGGATCATCTGGTCGAAATCCACCACGAGGAGGGCTCAAACCTGGTTTTTGCTTCAGCTCCCACTTCGGAGGCTGCAAAAATTGGGATACATATCAAGCCGGGAACCAAATGAATAACAAAGAAACATATGAGACAACAAATACTATTGATTACTTGGTGCGCATAAACTACTGAAAATATTCTTAACATTGGAAGTTAAAACTCTTCACTATAAAATAGACATTTCAAAATAAAGATAGTAGTGACGGAAGACAGCTCCCATATTTTCAAAAGATGTATGCATACATGTTATTATTTGGGGCAATAAAGTGATTGAAGATTAAGCTTTGAAATAACCATCAATAATTTTCAACAGAACCAATAAAGAAGTAATACCAACCTCAGTAGGATCCATTTGAGCCATTATAGCAGTCAAGGGGTCATCTCTTTTCAAACGGCTCTCTTCATTTGGCATTATAATATCCTTCAATGGACAGTCACGGTCACCACTTTGGTGCCCATAATTTCCACATCGAAGACATTTCACATTACGGACTTCAACAGCAAATGGTTTAACCCTACCAGGAACACCAGTCTCCAACCTAAAAGTGCGCCATCATCATGCAAACCAAATCGAATAAAATATCAATTCACACTTGCTAAACTATGAGATCAGATTTTTTTGCCCTTTTTATAAGATGGCTAGTTTTAGCATTTCTTAAAACAATGTAGCCTGAGCACCCTTAATCCTTATGCAAGTCAGTTTCTTTTCTGTATTATAATTAAATTCATTAGCAAAACATTACCATGGAAATAGACAATCAAATAGCTTATTTCAACAATAAAAAATCAGATCAAACTGTCTGTTTTTTTTCATTATCATAATAGATCAAACTGCCTTTAGTTTAACAGCCATGATCATCTATGGTTTCAACTACCCCATGATTAATATTGCAGGAACTACCGTTGATACATACCGCGGGGCATTTTTAAGAACTTCAAACTCTTCCTCTGTTGGTAAAGCTCGTCCGAAAACATCTTTCGGTCTCAATTTCTGCTTCTCTTTAGTCATAGTACATCCACCAGGCAAAGATTCCGGTGGCCTGCAAAATGAAGTTAATAAATTGAGAAAACTATTTCAGAAAGAGGGAAAACAGCTAAAATTAAAACAAGTAAGCACATTAAACGTTTTATATTCAAACCAAAATTACATTGTTGTCGAATGATCATTGGAATTTTGCTCGGTAATTTTCCTCTCATCGGCGACCTCAGCCGCTTTGGCACTTTCAGCATTATAACCAGGCGGACGAACATACATAAAGCTAACAGCTTTCATCATCTCCATCTAGGAATTTAATTAGGGTTGGGTAATTTAGTCTCAAAAGATAACGAAGATGGAAAACCAAAGGAAACTACTTAGATTGCGAAAGAAAAACCTTTTCCTTCTCCTTCTTCGAAATTAAAGCAGTCTGGCGAAAGAATTCTTGCTCTTGAGAATACTGTAACAAAACATAAAATACAATACTTAGTGTAAGGGGAATTGAAGAAGAAGATAAAAGAAAGATTAGGAAGAGAAAGAAAGTGACCTCGCGGGCAACTTCTTCGGCACGGCGGGTGCGCTGGGCATGGGTCTGTTCGGCGATCCACTTGCGGCGTTGGTTGGGATAGGAGAGGGGATGCCATGGCTTTTGGTTGAGATAGGAATGGCTCCAAGCGGTGCCTGCTTTTGTCTTGTAATCGACTTCCGCCGAAGTGCCGGGCTTGTCATCGGAAAACCTTTTGCTCAGCCTTATTCCTCCACCGTCCTCTCCGATTCCATCCATCTTATCAACAACTCACTGTGCTCTTCTTCTCCTTTCAATGGCTTATTCTATTTCCAAAACAGTGTCGGATTTCGTTCTCCTCTGCTTTCAATCCCAAATTTGCTAATACCAGCTTCGCGACTAGGGATTGGAAATTCCGCTTCTTGGGCTGGCCTAACCACTATTGATGGGCCTAACAGCTTTACAAAGTTCCATCCTACTCTTATAAACTATCTAAACTATTATTTTTTTCCGTTTAATATTTAAATTTTATTTTTCTAAAATTATCTGTGACGTTTAGTTTAATTTTCAATTTGATATCTTACCTTTAAAAAATAAATATAACTGATGACGTGACATTTTTACTTTTTTCAATGATGAAGTGACATTAATTTATGATGGTATGTCAAAATCATTATTAAAATTTTAACAGCGAGCACCAAAATAAAAGCTAAACTAAATGATAAATATGATTCTGAAAAAAATTAAAGTTTAAGTATCAAAACTAAACAAAAATTAATAGTTTAAGTATTAAACGTATAATTTATCCTGTAATCAAATAAAAACTTTTGTTGTTTTTAAAGTTCTATATATATTTTTTGCGATAAATCTCAAAATCATCCATCAACTTTTGTTAAATATTCCATACAATATATGATTTTTTATAATTATATATATTATTTTATTTTATTATTTTTTATAAATCATCATCATAATTATTAATATAATATAAAAATAATAATTTTATGTATCTAATTGAATAAAAATTAAAGTTAATGTATCGTATTAATTTTAAGAATATATCACACGTTTAATTATTTTTTAATAAGTATAATGGAAAAAGAAAACTCTTTAACCCTAAGCCCTAAACACACGAAATTAATCATTTAAAATCACACAAATATCATATAAGGAAAATGTTAAAAAGCCAAATCAAATAAGCTCGAATAAAAGATAGATACAAATAGATCTGACTGCATTGGTAAATGAATCATCAAAGGGGATTAGACTATTAAAAGATCACTGAGAAACCACAAGTCAGAATCGAGTGGCATGAGAAAATTACTCACGAATACAAATCGCATATCGAAATCTAATCGATAGTCTAAAGCATGAAAGATCAGCATGATAACAAATAAGCGTAATTTTGATCAGTCATAGAAATGTCAAATCCAATCCTAAAAAATTGAACAAACGAAAATAACGGTCAAGCGATTGAAAACGTACCAAAATTTAGAATGAAATGTATAAAGACATGCTATTAAAATAAACATAACAAACGATCGAAAACGTACTATAAAAATAAAGTTTAAAAATATAATATATTTAAATAAAATACTATAAAAATAAAGTTTTTAAAAATATAATATATTTAAATAAAATAAAAATAATTAATACTAACTATTGATGACCAATATTTAGATTAGTATCATCCACGGTACAAGGATGAAGAAAAAGATAGATTAACATCGACACAAGTAGAGAGAGAAAATTAGGGACGAAAACCCTGCTGATAGGAAAAATTATAATCTTAATTTTCTTTAATATTTCAATTATCGAAGTTTCAATCTTTTAAATAATATTTTTTTAATGTCAATTGATAGTTAATTAATGGTAGTTTGCAATCGTAAACGGTAGCATCGTCAGCTCTAATGCATGATGAGTTGAGCAAGATCTTCAAAATTGTACTATTTCTTACCTTGAGATCCGAATCAAGCTGATGTGCAAATATATAATACTAATATACCCGTTTTGTTTTGTTTTGAGTTAGGCCAGTGCAGGCGATAGCCTAGTCTCTCCAGTGAGGTTAGCACTTTGATAAAAGCTGAAAAATGAAACCCACATCATCCATATGCACATATATAAAGAATAAAAGGACAGATTTATAGATTGTCATTTGCTTGGAGGATGATGTATTTAGCGTAGATACACCATCCATCCATCATCTTCAAAGTAGGAAACGCCATGCCCATGCTAATATGCCGACCCTCTGCTGTCATTTATTGCTTACATGTTTCTCCACTCATCTTCTTTCTACATCCTATCCCCCGCCATGTGGATGTTAGATCTCACTGCTAAACAATTCTACTGAGAATGGTGGACACGATCTTGATGACGATTCTCATATTTTGTCTCAATTGCTTTGACCTGAAGATCCATATTTAACTGAATCCAGATCTCTCTTCCATTCTTTTTTACTGATTAAAATTCATCTTTTTAATATAAAAATGAAAGAAAGCTTTGGTGGTATGCTCTGATGAACTCCCGTCTTTTCCATCAGTCATCACCGTGATCAGATGTTCCATTTATTATTCTTTTTTGCTGTTGAGTGCGCCCTCTTGGATGATGCTGTTAAAGTGGGTTTTAGATTCACAACCCCACCAAAACTCTGGACTCTGGTTTTTCTTATTTACTTAATTGTCCTAATCTACAGCATTTGTGGGATGCATTTGTTCATCGCATAACATTCAAAACTCAAATTAGATTAAGAACTCGCGAGTTAGTAGTATATTACCTAAGAACTATGACAAAAAATGGGGGGGGGGGTTTCATACTCGGTACATATCGAATCATAAAAGGGATGCTGGTTGAATTTTCTTTTAAAACCAATGTAAAAATTCGACTTTGCCACATTTAATATTCACCTCAACCGCACTCGATGAAGCGCCATGTAAGCGACAAGTCGATAGCCGACCAGCATGAGTGCCATAATGGCCACATCGATCCACAAATTGTTCAATCCCATTGATTTAATAGCAGGAAGATCTCCTACCCTACATAATTCGCCCTTGGAGCACTCGTAAACATCGTCCTCATTGTACTGAACCCCTAGCAGAAGCTTGTAACAGTAGTAGCTATAACTCAGGTATTTGAGCCACACTATGAAGGAAGGGATTTGTTGAACGTAGTATCCCCCGGCTATAAGGAAAACGAGTGTAGTAACCGAAGCTAACGTGGTGGCTTGTTTAATGTCCATGAGAATGGCCCCAAATGCTAGGCCTAGACTTTGCGAGACGAGGACACTGTAAAGTACGACTAGAAGGGAGAGGATGAAGGTAACCGGATCGGGCTTTAGGCCACCCATCCAATAGATAATGAAGACGAAAGCTGTTGGGAGAGCAAGTTCCAGCGGAAGGTCACCGAATGTTCGGGCGAGGAAGTAGGAAGAAAGGCGATACATGCCGGAAGATCGTTCCTTGATGAGCATTGTTCTTTCTTGAGGGAACGTGAATACCGCATTGTAGAGCGGATAAAAGCCCCAGAAGACGGAGAAGAAGAACAGCAGTGCAATCTGTTGGTTTAAGATGCCAAATGAAGTTAGAAGATGTTGAAACCTTAGCTTAGCATGAAAGATACAAAGAAGAGCAGTTCGTCTTACTCGGTCTGAGATGTGAGAAGCTGGTGTATGCCACCACAGGAGTCCACCCAGTACTGCAACGCTGATCACTTGGAAAATCCTTAGCCTGTTGAAGGCTTCGTATCTCCTTTCTCTAACCCCCCTCTGGAGCAGCACCTTGAACTGGTGCCACCAGCTTGTGCACCACTGTTCCGACATGTCATTTCCTGCGCCTAGTATTACTACTTAGACTTGAATTCATCTTAAAAACCAGAGCAAAGGTTGGTTAAATTTATCTGGGGAAAAATTTACTTGCAGATGCTTCATTTGTATTGACGTAGTTATTCACATCCGTACTGCAAAGCTCGGCTTTCAGTCTTGTGGAAATATTTTTCTCATAAGCAGAAATCAGAGCATTCTTTACGGATTTCTCTTCTTCCGTGTTCTCAACTTTCTCCCTCGAGGGCTTAAAATCAGGACTGATTCCTGCATTGAAATTTGGTGTACTTCAAAGCTTAGTATGGTATTGATGAAAATGATGACAGAATCTGATCATGTAATGGTAAAGCAAAGTGACTCTAAAGGGTGGGGCTGATAATACTCCATTGTCCTTAAGGGGGATATAAAGGTGGAAGCATCATATATTTATGGTAGGCCAACAGATCATATTCATACCCCATGTGTTGTTGAAAGCTTCTCATTCCCCACCAGTCTCTGTATATCATGAAGGGAAGTAAATATATATAGTAAAGCTAAAGAAATTACCGTTTGCAAGATCAAGCAACAGATCAGCTGGGTTGATAGTCAAGGATGTGGAGAAGCCAATGGAAGAAAAATAATCTAACGCCGTGGATGCTGAACCGTAGTAGATAGGGCAGCCCTCCGAGAGCAAGACCACCTTGTCGAACGTGTGATACAGTCGACTCGAAGGCTGATGAATGGTGGTGACAACAGTTCGACCACCACTAGCAAGGCCTTTGATCGTGGTCAGGATCCGTTGTGCCGTGGTCGAGTCCAAACCCGAGGTGGGCTCGTCTAGCAAAAGTAGGCTCGGGTTGATTAGCATTTCCTGGCCAATGCTAACCCTTTTCTTCTCCCCGCCTGATATACCTCTAAAGAGTGGGCCTCCGATCATGCTGTTTCGACACCTAGTTAACCCCAGCTCGGAGATGACTCGCTCGACATGCTGGGCTTTCTCATCTCGGCTCAAGCTGTTGGGTAGCCTCAGTAGTGCTGTGAATAAAAGGGTCTCGGTCACAGTGAGATGGGGGTATAAAACATCATCCTGAGCCACGAAACCTGTTCTTCGTTTCAAGGCACCACAAAAAGGCTGACAATTGTAGGTTATCTTCCCGGATAGTTTGCCCGTCAGACGGCCGCCGAGGGCAGTAAGGAGGGTGGTTTTACCACTTCCGGATGGACCTAACATTGCTAGTATTTCTCCGGGATAAACTACTCCTGTTATTCCATTGAGTATGGTATTTTCTCGGGTGATCCACGAACCCCAGCGTGATCCTTTCTGCTCCAGCTTCACCTTGTAGACTACCTCCTCAAACTGTGTAAAGAAACCAATATGAACAAAAGATTAAAACACTAATTACTCTATCATATGCAGAAAAAAAAAAGCATCAATATCTAATGTAGAAAGAGACCTTCAAAGTTATAGGAAACAAGGCAGCCCTTTTATGGGACTTGGACATCTCTGAAAGAGCTTCCACTCGTCCATTGCTGCTACTATGTTCAGGTTTTGGTGC